TTGTGGGTCGGTTGAAGGTTGCCAAGCGAATATTTGGTTCCAAAATGGGTCGATTGATGAGTATATCCATTCATAAATAATAACATGATCATTTATCAGTTCAAAATAATTAATAGTAATTCAACAAAAAATATAATTCAAAATTAAAACTAATTCCAAACATGTACATTCCTAATTTCCAGTGGAAGATTTATGTCTAACAACTCACAAAAATTAATAGTAGGTTGACCGGTAATTAGGGGGCGTTCCTGAGATTTTGGGGCCTATGCGAGATTTGAAGATAGTTGAAAAATGAGACTCTTCTACAATTTATGTTAAAACTCATTTTTTTTTAAATGATAAACTTTATGTTAACTCATTTTTGTAAGGTATATAGGCAGAGGCAAGATAATAAATTTCTGGGGGTTCGGGGGCAGCGCCCCCGAAATTTTTTTAAGGATAATTTTCATCAAGTAGCACTAAAACAAGTGTAAATATATAAAAATAAATAGCTAATGCACTATAAATTTAATAATTGAGGTCCCTATGATTAGAGGAATTATAGAGACAAGTAAAAATCGTTGATCAATATCTATTCATGAATTAGGGTTCGCAATAATTATACATATTATATATTTTTTTTTAAATAAATACTAATATATAAAAGGTATACAAAAATTTGGAGGCCCTAAATTTTTACAAATATCCGGGGCCTAGGTGACCGCCTACTTCGCCTCCCCTCAGAACCGGCCCTGCCGATAATTATCGGTCAACCCAATTTTGATAATATTAAAACTATCAACCGACTCATTATAGATGGGATGGTCAAAATTTTTTACTCAATCCAATTGATCGGTTAAAAATTATTATTCGCCTGATAATATGACCAGTAATAAATCGGTTCTTGACTAAGAACCAACTCAGTTCCAAACATAATATTTACTATATTAGCAACATAAATAGTAAATAATCACAAAGGAAGTTCGGCAGTATATGGTGCTATTTTTTCCTCATATAGTTTACACATTTTATTTATAAAAAAATGGTCTGTTACAACAATTCCTGAGATATGGTTAAATTACGAAAAAATCCCTAATGTTTGGGTAATTACAATCACCCATCAATTACAAATCTTCTTACACGTTCATTTTTGCGGTGTCAAATTTAGTAAAATCTTTTAGATTATATAAAATATTCTCAATTTTGTACCCGTTTTATCCCATTCGAGCTCCACATTTTGAAGCAAGATGATCATAAAATGTGTTTTTTGACTTGTATAAATCAGATTGTGGTGCATCAGAAACTGCGTGTTTTGCACAAAACGAATACAAACTAGAGAACATTCTACGAAATCTCGAAGATTATGTTTAATTTATCACCATAAAAATGGACGTATAAAATGGTTCATAGTTGAGGGAATAGTTGTAATTATCCAAGCATAAGGAATTTTTTTATAATTTAACCATACCTGATGGGTGGTTATAATTTACCCTAAAAAAAAGTTTATCGGAATTTTGCCCCAATACGACTATGGTAATTTTTTTAATTGCAACTGTAAAACTATCATCATTACCAATATTTTTCAAATACATGAGTAAGTTTAAATGATGATAAAATTTAATATTTTGCAATTTCAAAACACATATATGGGACGTTAGAAAGCTTATAAATAAACTTATATTGTAAGAGATAATATAAGAGAGAATCTGTAGCAATAAACTCATATTAACTACTAAAATGTAGATAAATGAACACAATAAATTGATGTAGTTAAGAGTTCAGATACATAAATAGGACTTGCACCAAAGGCGAAATCCCTCGCCCCCAGGGCCCCTATCCCTTGGCCCGACAAGGATTGATGGAGGAATGTAAATCATGGTAACTCAATGGCCCGTTAAGGTAGCGGACCCGGACCTGGTGCCCACAAGGAACTAACCTTCATTGGAGTTGAAATTCCCATACCGCGGCTGCCAGGATTCGATCCTAAGACCTTGCACCAACTTACCACCTCCAGAACCAGTTGAGCTACACCCATGCGGGCTACATAAATAGGACTTAATAAAATTAGTAAAGACTCCTTCTTTAAACTTTACATCGTTCTTGTACACAACTCAAAATTCGTATTTCTTCACTGTATCTTCTCTCCGCAATCCTTGAATTATTTTTTTTTGTTTCTACAACAAAAAAAAGTTATAGTCTCGAGCTCCAAATTTTGATACATAAATTCGCATGACATCAATATACATTCGATAATCGTACATTATCTATTCTAATCATTGATAATACAATTAAAACAACTTATGCTCACTTGATCCAATTTAATATGCAAAAAAATAGCAAACTATTTCATTTTTTTTACCCCAAGAATAACTACTAGAGTATTGTGCAACATAACACTCAGTTTCGAAGTGTCTTATTCTCATTCTAGATTTGTATACAACTTTATTTTAATTTAGGGTAAACACCACTTAACTCCTGTGGTTACAAGCTTTTGCAATTGATTTTCTTGTGCTTGTAATATCAGTACATAATCCCTTGTGGTTTATGAATATAGCTTTCGTAAGTTTTTCGTCAGACTTAACCCGCGAGTCACACTTTAATGGGATCGTCTGTAAAAATGAAAGGGAAAATGAAAGCATAATGGAGGTCATCTGAAAAAATGAAAGGAAAAATGAAAGCACCACTAGTAGAAAAATTGTTTTTTACTACGATCATTAACCATAGCAAAATGTATCAAATTCGTACTAAAAAGGCTTTTGTTATGGATTTGTTACGAATTTGCCCTGTAGCATATACGGGCGTGACAAAAGTTTTGCTACGGTAAATGACCGTACCAAATATTTTTTTGCTACGGTAAATCCTAGTATTTACTACGACTTCAAAATTGTTCCGTAGCAAAAAGTACATTTTATTACGGTTTTTTACCATAACAAAAAATTTCGTATTAATAAGCAAATTTTCTTAGTGCATAATGGAGTCATCTGCAAAAATGAAAGGAAAATGAAAGCATAATGGGGTCATCTGCAAAAAAAATTGCTTTGATGTTTAACAGTGGCAGTTAAATTTAACGGAAAAACTAACGGAAGCTACCTCATCAACTACGAGGAGGTTATGTGTTGATATTAATGGCATAGGGGGTTCGTCTTCAAAACTTATAACCACAGGGGATTAAGTGTTATTTATCTTTTCATTTATAAGGACCAACCAAAGGACATGATAATTTTTGTGTTAGCATCAATCTCCTCATGTTAAAATAAAAGATATACGTGTATAATTTAAGATAATGATCCGATATTGATTCTCACAAAATAATACAATAATTATATTTATTGCTTTCATAAATCAAGAACAAAATTGAGACTTATGGTCTACTATCTTACCCCAAATGACCGGCCATATATGTTAATCGGACTCTAGTTTCCTAGAGACTAGGAGTCAGGATTTTAAATTCGTGGGTCAACTGCATTAAAAATATATTTTGTACACAAATTTTGATCTGATATAAATGTGATTGCATAAACAACCTCCCCTAAGATATGCGATTCTACACCATTTATTTATATTCCGCATATGCTGGCTCCGCCACTCAGTTAACATGAGTGCGCTCTCCAACGAATTACTCCACACGCCCCTCTACACTAAAAAATATTTCCAAATCATAATCCAAATTAAATTAATCTCACAATAAATAGGAGGAATAATTTCCAATTTTTTTAATCGCAGGATCAATTTCTCGAAATGCATAATATAAATTATATGATATCGAGATTGACATTATTGTAAAATAAACTTAAACTAGTAGGAAGAGTGCTAATCATTTATTGCACTAGTACGAAGATGATAAATAAATAAAAAATAATAAAAAAATTCACAAATTCTTATATTTATTTTTTTTTTGAGTAAAAAATTCTTATATTTATTGTTAAAAAAAAAACGAACATGTGAAGGTCACGTCCATGTTTGACGTGGGTAGTGGTAATATTTTATAGTTTAAAAACAATGTATTAATTAGGAAAAAAAATAAAAAATAAAAAATAAAAAATAAAAAACCTTCCATTCAACTTCTATTTGCACATACAATCACGTGGTTCATGTATAACCAGTAATATATATTGAAATAAATGTAGCTACCAAGTACAGATTTGATTTGACTTTATGAGAGAGACTGAATCTTGACACATCAACAAATATTAAATTTAATATGATTGGAGATACTGTCCTAAAATATTGAATTATTGGTCACATTTTTTAATATTAATTAATTCCATCAATAATACCTCATAAAATAGATTAAAAAAGATTGTATTAGATATCAATCAACTATACTATACGGTAATGATGGCTAAAATCTGGCTGGCCAGAAAGTGGCTTTTATGTAATTTTGAGGAAAGTTATAAAGTCCATTTACTAATTTACCCTCAAACTATGCTACTTGAATTTTAATTTATTTAGTTTCTCTACATACATTTAATTGTTATAATTCCAAAGTTCAAATGCATTAAATATCATATTACAACTCCAACAAAACTAACATCAATTTATTTAAGTTTCTTCATCTTGTTATTCTCTATAAAGAATCGAAATTTTACATCTTATTTTTAAGGGGTCTTAAAAGATAAGTCCTTGGTGACAAAACTAAATAGAACTAAATGACAATCTCAACTAAACATTTGCTTCACATCCTTTATTAAATTCATTCCAAAAATGCCCTTTCACTTATCTTTATTTTTTTGTTTTTTATATTATTATTTTTTACATTATTATAAACAATTTTTTTTCCTTATTTTTGATTTGAAATTTACGAGAAAAAATATTTTTCATTTTTATTAAAAAATACAGCAGATTTCAAAAAATACCATGGTGTACTATAATATATTATGGTATACTGTGGTATTATAGATTAAACTATTATTAAAAAAAAAAAAAATTCTACATAATATTGAAAATTACAAAAACAACTCGTTCTTCGTTTTTTGTAATTCAACCTACAATTTTTTTATTTTTTTATTCAATTTTTTTTCAATACTGTAGTAGACTATGGTTTACTACATTGTAGTATGATATACTACGGTGTACTACAAAACCCTAGCAACCAACAACACCAATCTCGCCAACCCTAGCCGTCAACGCAGCAGCTGTCAAACCCTAGCTGCCTACATTTGCAGTCGTCGCAACCGTAGTCAATTACCAAGTTTGAGAAAACCTAGATTTACCATTTTAATCCAAATCAAACAAAATCTCTTGAAGATCAAGAAAATCAGATGCAATTAGTAAAAAATATACTTTTAATTAAATTTCCACCATAACCACATCACTCGCCGCAACCTCGACCTCCACATCCACGGCCGCCGCCGCGGCCACCATAGCGGGACAGCCCCCCGGCTCAGATCTACCATCACAGCCCGCCCCCCTGCCGCACCTCCACCACCACAGCCCCTCGGCTTGCCTCGACCATCACAGCCCGGCCCCCTGCCGCACCTCCACCACACCTCCACCACCACAGCCCCTCGGCTTGCATCGACCATCACAGCCCGGCCCCCTGCCGCACCTCCACCACCACAGCCCCCCGTTGCCGTCTCGTGCACCACAGTCCTTTGCCTCTTGCTGAAGAAGAAAGCAAGAAAGATATTGAGAATTATAGATGGAGAGGTGAGAGAGAAAAAAAAACGAGAGAGAAAAGAATATAAGAGACAACGTGTGTGATAGAGAGAACGTGAGAGAATAGCAAAAAATAAAATAAATCTGAATAGGAGAAACGTGAATATGTAGGTTAGAAAATTTAGGGTATAAGGGCAAAATTGGGATATAAAAAAAATTAGGAATGTGGCTCATATATTATTTCAAATTAAAAATTTAATTAAAAGAATGAATTTGAATTTGTCATTTAGTTCAAATTAGGTTTCGTTTGAGGGACTTGTAGCATATTATCCCTATTTTTAATGGTCTCATCTTCTCCACGAGACAAGCTTAAATAAAATTCAGATTTTTTTTAATAAAATAAATGTTAAAAGCCTTGAATATTTTTTTTTTTCATTAATTGTTGCTTATTGTTGATTTTATTAATTTGTATTACTACATATAAAATTACTATCTCAAGGTATATATGTGGTAAATGAAATAGATTGCTAATTTATCAATTGAAATCTTATGTAATATTTTTACAATACTTCAAAATATTCATAGATTTTTATTGACATATGTGATTTCTAAGTTATGCTATTATTTTGTAAGATTTATTTCTACTCTTTTATAATTCAATTATATTGTGAATACTTCAAAATATTCAATTTTTATTTAATAATTGTTGTGATGGTTTTGATCCCATCTCTGTTGCTTTTAATTGTTTTTTTTTTTGAAGAATTTCAATTGTATTTTGTTTGATATACCCTA